GCTCCCCAACATGCTAATGAAATGAGATATGTTTGGATGCGAGTAATAACGACATTACGGACATGAGATGACAAGGTATTTCTTTGATATTTCTATTAATTTTTTTATCGAATAGGACTAAAAAAAATGTCACATGAAAACAAAATATATATATAATTGACCTTAAATGAAAACCAGAAATTGTTTTAAGCACTTTTCATAATTATAACCAATTAATAATTTCAGAGGGCAGCGCCAGTCGATCTGGCATAACCAAGAACACCTTGACAACCAGAAGAGGTTATACTATACTTAGGAGCCATGAAGGGCAGCATCCCAGTGTATTCAAAACGGCATATCGGAACAAGGTTAATGGAGATAGCGTCGTTTGCCTATCGTAACTCGAAGACTTATCTCACCAGGATTCTCAAACTTATGATTTTTATTGAGGTCAATGATCCAATTTAAGCCTTCTACAGGAACTAGCTTAATATCCTAATTTAAGGGCGATTATTCAGTTAGTATATATGGAAGAGAAAATGACATAGGAAATGAGAGAAAATGAAAGAGAAGAAGAATATAACTCCGTCACACAGAGTTGTCCACTACTAAAATCAAATTACCCCCACGCGAATAAAATAAAACATACGAAAGTGATGGGCCAATGAGAACGGAATGAAAAAAAAAACGATGCAAGCTTCGAAAGAAAGAAAGAAAGACAGAAAGAAAGACAAAAAACGAAAGAGAAAGAAAAATGGGCTGATAGGTCGACAGTTTGGTAGATCAAGAGAGAAATATAAAAAGGGTTGTGTGTGCGTTGACTTCGTTTTTCAGTAAGTCCAGCGGCGATAGTCCAGTCAAGGAAAAGGAAAACTCTATGGGCGAAGCGACGGAGGATCGTTCGCTTTGACGGTTAACTGGCCCAGTGTCGGATCCTTTGGCAGGGGTCGCTCCTCCTGGGTCAAGCGTGCCTTCACCAACATCCTCCGTCAACGCCACCAGATGGGTTTAGAAAGGGAATAAGGAGAGAGGATGAAAAAAAGGTCAAAACAAAATTGATTCCGATGTTTGATGCACCAAGTTCTATCACAAAAATAGTGCCGACGACGACATTGGCACTCGGCGTGGTTCAGATGAGATGACGAAGCGTAATTGTTTCTTGTTTCAACCCAGTGGAAGATTTCTCTTCCATTACGCAGAAGGGCAAATTTCTTGTTTTCGGGGTCGTCCGAGGGTGAACTGCAACTCAAACAAACTCACGTTTCTATTTATTTTTTTATCGCCGCAACAAACCGGGTGGGTCGGTCGGCGTCATACGTCAATCGTTATTGTTTTCATAGTTTAACAAGAAAATGTCTCTATCGAACCTTTCTTTCTCTTCTTTCCGCACCCAGGAAACAGTTATTGATCGAGGTTTTCTATCTTCTATCACATATACCAATTGTAGATCCTTTTGTTGGCAACAGTTTTTAAAAAAACAAAATCCGATTTCGACTTAAGCAAACAACCAGACAATGCTTGTCTTGACTTTTAGAAGGATCTTTTCCGTTTTCCAAAAACAATTTTTCAGTTTTCCTGATAGCGTTTAACAATGAATAATTTCACATCCATAGTGTCATGGACTAAAGTTTCTTTTTTCTTCGGAACACCTCCACCAGAAAATTTCAGGTTATAAGAATTCTATACTTAATCAAAAAATTAAGGTCAGCCATGACATCTGGTCCAGGGCCTGTTTTGATATCATGTTTTTTCCTTTCTTTCCCCCTTTTGTTATAAACACAATTCTTACAAATGAAAGTTAACAACCTGAGCTCATATTTCTATGAATATTTCAATAAATGCAACAATCCTAATATTTGTCATTTACAACCAAACCCAATTACATCATTTAACACCCATACCGTCTTTTTATTCTACTTTCAACATGCAAGGGTAATGCTTTCCATTTTCGTTCTACATGAATTCTTCATTTTCGTTCAGCAAAAATGTTCTTTTCATTTTTCTTCCGCCGCACCGCAATGTTCTTTTCATTTTCTTTTTGTTCTAGGCAAACGGTGTCTGTATAGATGTGTTCTTTAGGAACAAGGTTAATGGAGATAGTTCTGTCGTAAATATCGAATTGTTGCATGCTCACTAGACTGTCGTTCGCTCTTCTCCTACTCTTAATCTTCCATATTATTACACCCCCCATGGCTATAACTAGGAATCTATCGTAACTCGTCTCCCAGACTTAACTTATATTTAAATCCAAATTAATCTAAAAATTGGCATGGTTTATGACTTTAAAATAATCGGCTCCCCATAATTCTGATTGACTATAAATCGTCTCGATGAGTAATCTTTTTCTTCATACCTTTCTTCCATCTGGTAATAGGGGGCAATTGGAAAACTTCCATGGGTAGCCACCAGGGATAACTTATTGAGGTCCCCCACATTGTGATCCAATTTAAGCAGGCTTCTTAATACAGGAAAACACTGATAGCTTAACGTTATCCTAATTTAAGGGATTCGATTTATTCAGTTAGTATATATGGAAGAGAAAATGACATAGGAAATGAGAGAAAATGAAAGAGAAGAAACATATAACATTGAGGGAAGAATTACTACCAATAATCGATTTTCTAACAAGGAAATCCAAGAGAATAAATTCTTTAGAGTGAAAAAGAGAGAAAGGTGACCCGACAATAAAACAGGTCTAATTGTGCTCTCAAAAGGTCGTCAAAGATGTTTGTCAGCGTCAGGGAAATATTTTTGAAAAATTTCTGTAATAACATTACAGAAAAAGAAGAAAACCAATTGATCCTGGCTCTATTTTTGAATGCGATAATTATATAGGAAAATTTAACGTCATCTTCAGTTAAAACAAGATAGATGCTATTTACTAAGTTCCCGCGTCTGCAGATTTGTTTTTGCATGTCTTTCCATTGAGCCCCATCATAGTGGCTTCTGATTCAGGGTCAAACTAAATATGAGGTCAGCGATTATCTAATAGGATCGAACTTCAAATCTATCACGAATACCAACCACTGACCTTTATAAGGACGACATGCTGGCGTCACCACCAGCGTGGCTATCACCATCATCGTCATTAACCCCCCCCTTACAGACGACTCTGTTCCTTCTTTTCCTTTGGTCCCGGGTCGTTCTGATTTCGATGAGATCGGCAACGGTCACCACGGCACCATATGTGACGTGGCTGTCTCATTAAAAAAAACCTGGCCCAGTGTCGGATCCTTTTGAAGCACGTCGCTCCCTCCTGGTCGCTCCTCCTGGGTCCAAGTAAATGAAAACATACGAAAGTGATGTGTTTAGATCTTAGACAACCAGGGGCCAATGAGAACGGTCTCATGGATGTTGAGTCCGACGGGGGATGGCAAAAAAAAAAAAAAATGACAAAACAAAATTAGAAAAAAAGAAATATCTTAAAGACAGAAATAAAAACAAAAAAAACGAACTAGGCACCAAGAAAAAAATAGCAAAAAAAAAATGTCGAACTAATGGGTATGTATGTCGGCGTGATTCAGTTCGACATTGGGCTAATTTCTATCGGTCGTTCGCAGTTGGTTCTTCTCTTCGACGTGAACTGTATTTCAAGTTTAGAGAAAACCCAGTGGAAGGGTTTCAGTGGAAGATTTCTTGTTTCAATTCGGTGGAAGATTTCTTGTCTTCAACTTGGGCTGGAAGGATTTCTTTTGTTTCGAGGATTCTTCTGTCGTCCGAGGTTGCAACTCACGCCCAACCTAACTCAACTTCAACTCAACTTCAGCTCCAACTGATTTCTGCCGACTGTTCCTTCATTTACATGTTAATAACCCGGTCGGCGTCAGGGGTTTCTCGATAATTTCAAAAGCCGTATTAATTTTGACTTTCCAATCGTTTTCTCCACCCCCAGTGCTATTGGATAATTTCTCTTAGTCTCTCATGTCAGGTGATCAGAATCGTGGATCGAACCTTTCTTTCTCTTCTTTTCCGCAGCCCACGTACCGCCTCGTCCAACAGTTATTGATCGAGGTTTTTCTTTCCTTCTTCCGCGGTCACGTGATTGTATTCGACCAATTGTTATTGACCGAACACCCTCTCCCTTTTGTTGGCAATCGTGCTGGTTTTAAAAAAACAAAATCCGATTTCGCACCTTTTTGCAACGCAAAATGACAATCCTTGCCCTCTCTCACCTGGACTTTGTCAAACAGCCCGCTGCTAATTAGTCTTGACTTTTAGAAGGATCTTTTCCGCCTTCCTGGCGCCCTCCGTGGTCCAAAAACAATTGCTCTTCTTTTACCTCTTTGTTTTCCGTGCCCTCCAGGTCCAAAAACCTGATAGCCGAGAATCTTAATTATCTAGGTCGAAATATCTCTACTTTCTTAACGTGGGTGTCCAATTCTTAACAGGTCAATTCCGTATATCGTTTTCACCAGTCACTTCCCCAACCCAAAGACACTTTCTCTCTGACTAAAGTAAAATTCATTTCTATTATTCTAATTTAAAAGTTACCTTTCGTTATTTTGATAAGAATTCTTCTACGACAATGTCGGTCAGCGCTCGCGACCGATATCTCCAATTCTATTCTTTCAACAAAAATTAAGGTCAGTCAGAGGCTCTGACCGACATCTGGTCCACACCCAGCGGCCTGTTATTATCTTTCCTTTCTTCCTTTTCCTTTCTTTCTTTTCCTTGCTTTAGGATCGTTTAGTACATTCTTAGTGTTATTTTCAACCCAGTTATTTTCCGTTTTAAAGAAAAAAATTAACAACCTGTTTAATAAACTGAATAAGAAAAAATTAACTCATATTTCTATGAATATTTCCAATAAATGCAAGGTGCCATACATTGACTCAATGATCCCGACTAAAGTCGACTCTTTGTGTGTGTGTGTGTGTGTGTGTGTGTGAGAGAGAGAGAGAGAGAGAGAGAAAGAGAGAGAGAGAGAGAGAGAGAGAGATTGGCCGATTTGTTTTTTACGGCTTACCAACACTTTTTCGGTGGCTTAAATCCGAAAAAATATTTCGGCTTGTAGGAGGTTGCTTACAGTACTCGGTGTTCCCAAGCGGTCCCCCATCTAAGTACTAACCTGGCTCAACACTACGTAATTTTGGTGATTAAACGGGAACCGATGACTTTAGCGTGATTTGACCGTAAGCGCGCGTGCGTGTGCGTGCGTGAGACTGGAATAAAAATATTACTAAGAATAGCTGAAGGTTTCTATCGATTCAGGTAATTTTTCTCTACACTTGAATTGATATTATCTTGAAATTGGTTTATTCTAATTTGGTAATGGCTCACCACTGGTTTAGCATTTCATGCAAACGTATATATTAGAATGTTTCTTTCGTAGACTACACTTCTCCGGCTGGACAATCTAACACTATTAAGCAACCGTTCTATAAATTATATCGTTTCTTTGTTCGTTCAGAGACTAGCGAATTATTCTTCGTCAACTATGAAATTGAGGTAGGAATAGTTGGCTGCAGTTAGGTAAAATATTTTGAGACAAACGGTCAACAGAAACCTATTTGTCATTCAGTCCCATTCAACGGTTTCCTTTGATCACGTCATTTATTGTTTGTAGATATTATTTCATTCAGCCGACAAACGCTTTACAAAACATATTCTCTCGTATGGTATGTAATTACATACATTTTGTATACCTCTTTTGGGATGGATGTCAGAATTAATTCCATTCCTAGGCCCGTAGGTTCGTAAATGTCGACTGCATGAAATATAGATGTAACAAATATTCACTTTAATAGTGAAGATGGATATTAGATTTCCGAGAGTATATGAGATTTTATAACTATATAAATGTACTAGTTGTCACACTACTCTCAATTTCGATTTATTCCTAACCGACCGACTATAATGTGCATTGTGGTGTATTGGATATCGGCTCAGAATGAGAAATCGAGGAGCGGAGTTCGAATTCCAGTCGAGTTCGTTACATTCCTTTATGCGCAGAAAGAATTGACAATCTATTGCGAGAAACGTAACTCATAATTGATACAACAATAGTTAATAAAAATGAACACGGTACCACCCCTGTCTAAATGATTGGATTTCTCTGTATCCTTGGAAACAAAAAATATGAATGTATGTGCTTTTAAAACCCAGTAAATTTAAAAATAAGTTATTCCAAAAATCGCATGAAGATGAAACAGAATTAATGCTTTTAATTTAATTACATAATTAAATTTGAAGTTTTTAGCTTCGGTTTTTGAAACATGGTAATTCTATATATATATATATATATATATATATATATATATATATATATATATATATATATATATATGTTGCGATGGATGAATTGTCGTAAAAATTGTGCAAAAATGAGAATAACACTGAAATCTCATTTTAACAAAATTTTCTTACATAAAGATATCTTGAAATACTAAAGAGTAAATTTATTCAATAAAATCGCCATTGACTTCAACCATGATCTCCAGACGACTTCAGAATCTCCCATATCTCTTCTGGATGGTCTCCTTAAGTTGATGAATGCTGCCATAATCTCTGCTTTCATCTTTTTGTGTTATAAGGAATTTTGATGGTCTCTCGGTCAGCTGCGCGCACACAATAATCAAGGGGATTGCAGTCTGGGGAGATAGGTGGCCAGATGTAAGGAGTGATGTGGTAGAAGAAATTGTCTGACAGCCATAACTGGATTCTCTTGCTTGTGTGGCATGGAGCAGAGCCCTTTTGCCAGAAGACACCCTCTTGACCAAAGGCAGCTCTGCTTCTTCAAGGCACTTGATGTATGCCTCCGTGTGAAGTCTGAGACCCTCACCAACATATTCGGAGTTCTTTTCTCATCAGGACGATCAAAGTTTTTCGAGTTGCCGTACATTCGTAATCACAACTCTTTCCGAATCTTCTGTACTGTCCTCAGATTGACACCCAAATACTCTGAAATGTTCATATTGGAGCTTCCGGCACAAATGCCAAGCAGTATAGCATGCCGTTTCAAAATTTCTAGCCATACGTCATGGTGCTTTTTTTTTCTCACAGACACTACCCAACTGTCATTTTTATACTGTGCAGTCGACAAAATCATAAACAAACGAAGCGCATGCGCGAAATTAAAAATATAAAATGGCGAAAATTTAGCCATGTAATACTGTTATTCCATATCTTGCCAGCTACGTTTATTTCGTTTAACACTGTTTATTCCAACTTGCCTGTTTATTCCAACCTTCTCACTCCTTTTCTGTTCCCCAAAACAAATTAATTTTAAATGAATTTTCCAACTTACCCTTTTATTCCAACCTACTCTTCTATTTCTGACTTAATAGTAATCACGAAAGTGGAATTTGAAATTTAAAATATAAAATTTTAATTTCAAACGTAAACATTAAAATTAACGATATCATTGTTTCACTCTCATTAAACACATAATTATTTACGAAGTGTAGCTTAGTTTGCCACAAGGCTACTAGTATGGAATACACTGAAAAAACATTCATTAACTAGTAGTAACAATCTGTGAGACTAATTTGCTAACCATTAAACCATGACGAGACGAATTAAAATGTATAATGTTGTGGATGAATGATTTACATTGTCCTCATATTTGTTATTATTATCAAAGAATTTTCTGTCGTTGTGCCTTCCGGGTTTTTTCAGATGTATGTCGATCAGGTCGTAGTCAAAACGAGGTGTCCATAGATACAGACAGTGGAACGCGAATGATTTACTCCTTTCGATTAAATACAGGGTTCAGTTCACAGAAGGTTAACTGGACCGACAGACACCTGAAGAAGGTCGGAGAGCCCAATGGGCAAAACATTGTGATAACAACAACAAAGAGTGAGGCGCCAGTTCAAATGTAAATAATGTTAATTCCTCATCCCATAAAGTCAGACGGAAGTTAGAGATGAACTTGATTAGGACGAGAATTTATTCGCCGAAGTAATAACTCAGATTTAGTGTGTTACGAAGTGTTGATTGTAGACATGAAAAGTATTTTCTTAAATTTTAATAACTTACCAGTCATTTGAATACACACACACATATATATAAATATAAAAGTGAACATTGAAGTCAACACTCAAAGGCGACAGGCTGTTTCATGCTAGACGCAATCATCAGGCAGCCTGACGATTGCGTCTAGCATGAAACAGCCTGTCGCCTCTGAGTGTTGACTTCAATGTTCACTTTTATATTTACATACACTATCTCTGATATTAAGCACTTTATCCCATAAATATAGCACGCCATAAAACTAAAATTTCTTCAGATATAGATATATAAGCCAGTAGAATGCAAGTGATTACTGAGAGGTAAAGAAACAGAGGACAATAAAAGAACAGTAATCAAGTAGACATTGCATTTAAATTTTTGAATATCGTAGTTGACTGAAAAGCAAGAAGAGAGTCCCAAATGCGAGTAGCGAGGGAGAGGAAACTCAGAAGAGAAATTACGGTTACAATTAGCAATTTCAACAATGAAATTATGGAACCTAGCTGCCAACCCAGTACTGCGCTTAAATTCGTAAATTTCTGGACCATATAGCAGAAACATCAGACCAGATGTGGCAGTAATATTGTATGTGCAGACGAAAGGTAGATTTAAAAATGCGCATGATAGATTCTGAGGAGTATAATTCTCTAGCACGAAATAGTGAATCGACTTTCCTAGTAGCATATATATATATATATATATATATATATATATATATATATATTATATGATATTACATTCGAATATATATATATATATATATATATATATATATATATATATATATATATATATATATAAAAAACCTGTCAAACTTACCAAAGTTGGGACCACAAAAAAAGTTGGTAAGTTTGACAGTATTGGTAAGTTTGACAGAGAAAAAAATTTTTTTAGAAAAATTCACCTAATAACCCCTAGACACGCTTAAAATCGAAATCAAATAAAGTTTTAATAAAGTTAAACTTTTTCTTTCTTAATACTTGCTTTCTTCTTGATTAATGATTTATATAAACTATAGTCATCCGGTGTCATTTCACGCTGGGAAATGTATAATAAAAGTTCTTCTATAACTTCTAAAGACTTTTTATGTGTTATTATAGGTGTTTTAGTTTCTTTAATCTCTTCTTCTGACTCATTACTCCCAATATTGTCGATATTTTTCGAGTTTTCTATCTCATAAACTTCCTCTTCAATTTCATCGTTTTCGGTGTACTCTATTGAATTGAAGCCCTTTAAATCTAACCCATCTAATATTTTCCCTTTTTCGATAAACCTTGCGTAATTTGAGTAGTCTTCGAGGTGTTCTTCGTCGATATTGACATTAAAATCGGTGTCAGTATTTTTTTCTCCCTTGAGGTGTTTAAAACAATTCTTGATCACTTTTTTACTCACTTTTTCCCATGCCATATCCGTAAAAGTGATCACATCAGCAAGATTTATTTTTTTATAGCTCTCATAAACACTATCATCACCTTCAATCATTTCCAGGATTTTATCAAATTTAATTCGATTGAAATGGCTTTTGAAGGACTTAATAATTCCTATATCCATAGGTTGTAAGTCACCAGTACTATTTCTTGGGAGAAAAACAAGCTCAATATTAGAATAATTTTTTAGAGATTTATGAGCTGGACAATTGTCAAGCAAAAGTACAACTTTTCTGTTGAAACGAACAAGATCTTGATTCCATTGATCTAGCCAATCAGAAAAAATAGTAGACGTCATCCACGCTCTTTTCGAACAAACATAATTTACTAAGTTTATCCCTGTAAAATTTTTAAAACATCTTGGTTTCTTAGTTTTACCGATCAGCATCAGCTTATGTTTGATGGATCCCGTCATATTCGAACAGAGCATTATGGAAACTCCATCTTTAAAATTTTTATATCCTCTTCATGCTGTTTGGCAAACTGATTTAGATGGAATCAATTTATAAAATAATCCGGTTTCATCCATATTAAAGAAATTTTCCTCACCATAGATGCGGATTTTTTCGTCAATTTGGCTAAGAAATTCATCGTGGTTTTTGGTTCCTCACAGTATGTTTCTCCATTTAGAGGTTTTGAGAGACAGTTTGTGTCTTTTTTCACACTACAGCTCTGGAGCCAACCATTTGATTGGCTTTAAAAATCTTCTTTGATTGTGTGATATATATATATATATATATATATATATATATATAT